TTTCAAACACACTGCAGCACAGTCTCTGTTTTCACCTTAAGGTTCAGTATAAAGAAGGGGAGTTTTAAATCAGCCATGGTGCAGAGCAGCGGCCAAGTTTAGGGTAAGATAGATGACAGCCTGAATGCAAGAACACATCCACATGAGTCAGGCTAGTATCTCTCACTCCTAATGGCCAGTGGTGTAATATAAAGTAAATGCAAGCACAAGCTTGCTTGCCAGTGATGCATAAACTGAATGCCAAAGTCTCATTAATTCACAGATTCGGTAATAATGGAGTAATAAAAAAACACAGCAACGCGTCTCTATATTTTATTGTGTGTGTCTTTGGAAAGTTTGAGCCAAAGGCCAGAAAACTGGCGCATGGGTTTCCAATCAGCAGCTCTCTGAGCCTGCAGAGGAAAGAAGCTGGGCTGCTTTGCTCACGTAGCCTTAGCTACTATTGTTGCTCTTGACTTATCAGTAAAAGCAGTGCAGATTGTAGATGGATTAATTAAAATGTTTTTTGTCTACATTACGTAAGACATTACCTTCAAATCCTATTGGATATTGCAATTATAAATGGCTTCTGAATTCAGGTTCTAAAGGGACCCGATAATTACTTAAAAGAAATGTTAAAAACAATATGGCAGCTTTTTTGTCGGTAAATAAAAAGGAAATTATCTTGTTGACAGACCTCGTGGTTCAAAGTTCAAATATGTATGGACATCTTTTTTGTGTTGGTATGGACACATACGGAAAGAAAGCATAGGCAAATATTCACAATAGTACCACTTGTTCATCTAGCATTACACCACTGGTCATGGTTGGGGGAATGGCCCATGCAAAACCAAACATCCAAAGCAGACGCTGGTTATGAAGGTAAAGTCTGTGACATGGATGAATGGATGACCTCATGTTACAAAATGTTATTAGCTTTATAGTTTTAGTCCTAAGTCAACCTTAGCTGGGGAGATTTGGATGGATCAAGATGTGCCACTTTGTTTTTTATATTATCTCTTCACATTTGGGCAGCATTTGACTTTCCGTGAGACTGTGGCAAACAATTGCCGCTCAGCTGTACCTCTGTGCATTAAACCTAAAGAAAATTAGCTATACACAAACCCTTTCACACGTCCGATTCAAATAAATTCAAAGGACAACAAACTCCAATATGTTTTCAGAGATCTTTTATGCTGAAGTGCATTCACATTACTGGGCTGAATGAATTCTTGTGCGTATGGTTGTTTTTTTGAACATAAAACAGAAATTTAAACAGGCTGAAGCTCGACCTTGCGTCCGCACTGGACTCCCAATGTGAGATTCAGATAAAATTGAGCATGCAGAGTCCTGCATATAAAAAAGGAGCAGCTGTTGATCAAGCAGTACAAAGAACAGCTGTGAGACTGCAAGGGAATAGTGGAATTAAATGCAGATGTTGTAGCTAAAAATAAACCTCGGCAATAGCCCATGCTCCCTGAAGTGAAGAAAAACAACAGCAGCTTGGAAGTAATACCAAAATATCTCAAAACAAAACAAATAAAAATAAAAACTTGAAAAAGTAATTAGAAGACTTGAAGGGGGGCTGACTCGGATGATACTAAGGTTAACTTGTAGTCTGGTAGATTTATATGTGATCCAAACCTCCCACTGCTATATGGCTGTTGCCCAGCAAGGACATGAAAAAAAACAAAAACAATTACAGCATACGAAAACTCCCAAAAACCAACCAAACTACCAAACAGGTTTTTTCATGTGCCATGCACTGGCAGCAGTTGCCTTTTAACAACTCCAGTAAAGAGCAGAAAAACATTAATCCAGCTGGAAAAGGCACCATGCAAAGACTGTATGGGCTGCATCCCCACCTAACTAGGCCACACATTTCAATTCAGGTCAGTCTTGGAGCCTGAACTGTGAGACCTACTAAACCTGGTAGCAGAAGGGAAGACAGATGCTGACAGAAAGAATGAAAATCAGAGAAAATGTGAAACAAAGATAGAGGCAATAGAGGCTCAGATATCGTAATACAAACCGAGAGAGACTGCAAACAAATCAAAAAACAATGAATGGCGTATAAAATGTGGCAGGATAGTAAATTATGGAGTATGGTCATTAATGATTTAGAAAAAAACTGAATCTGCAAGCTTCATTAAACTTCATTTTTTTCATAAATAGTGACTTACTCAACTTCAAAAGCTGAAACTGTGATGAAATTTAGATTGCATGCATATAATAGTTTCTTCAACATTTGTATTTTGGATGTAAAACGTCAGTAATCTATCCCGATTAATAATAAAGCTCAACTACAGTGACTATGACCCACAGAATTTTGAATGAGTAGCTATGTGTGTGATGATAGCTCTCTAAAGAACAAACACTCACTGGCCACTTTGTTAGGTATACCTGTTCAAATGCTTGTTGGTGCAAATATCAAACAGACAAAGTTAAGACGATCTGCTAAAGTTCAACCCAAGTGTCAGAATGTTGAAGCAAAGGTGATTTAAGTGACTTTGAATGTGAGAAGGTTGTTGGTGCCAGACAGGCTGGTCAGACTGTTCCAAAAAACTGCTGATCTGCTGGGATTTTTCCCACACAACCATCTCCAGAGTTTACAGAAAACAGTTTAAAAAAGAGAGAAAATCCAGTGAACGGCAGTTCTCTGGGTGAAAATGCCTTCTTGATGCCAGAGGTCAGAGGAGAATGGCTACGCTCCTTCGAGCTGATACAGTAGCAACAGTATAGCCTCTCGTTACAAGCAAGTTATTCAGAAAAACAACAGATTCCCCTACAATAGTAGAAGATTGCACTGGGTGCCAACTCCTGTCAGTTAAACAGGAGGTTGAGGTTATAATTTGCAAGGTCGTTTTTTAAAATTGGAAAAACGTTGCCTGGTCTGTGAGTTTTGATTGTGAGATTTGGATGGTAGGGTAACAATTTTGTCTAAACAACATAAAAACATGGATTTGTCCTTCCTTGTATCAAAAGCTGCTGATGGTGGGGGGGATGTATTCTGAGAAAAGCCTTTAGTACCAACTGAGAATCATTGAAACACTACAGCGTACCTGAATATTGTTGCTCACTGTGTCTATCCCTTTATGAGCACAGTGCACCCATCTTATCATGGTTGCTTCCAGCAGGATGCCAATGCCACAAAACTCAAATCATGTCTATATCTATCATGTCAATACGTACAAAATCTCTGAGGAAAGTTTACATAACTTTATGTGCCACAAAGAATTAAGATGCTCTTAGAGACAAAACAGGGTTCAGCTCAGCACTTTCAAAGTGAACTTAAAAAACTAGCCGATGAGTGTAGTTGTCTGCTTTGACTGGTAGGAAATGATTACAGCATTGTCCTACTACTTGATGGCTTAATTTTTTTGTATTATTTTATAAAAATGTTCTGTCAGTACTTTTGAATCTATAGCAAGGCACAGATTTTAATTTGTGTTTCTGACTTGTGGGCTGTTTTCGGGCACATTAGTTTAAAGATTGGGCCATTTTATAAGTGATTTTGATTTTTCAGGTAAAATATTTTTCACAGTGTGCACTTCACAGTTAAAAGAAAATATGACTGAGGCAATCAACACTTCCTTTCATAAAGAAGAAAAGGGCAGGCGAATAGTGAAAGGGAGGGTGACAATGGAAGAAAAACAGGATGAAACAAAAAAAAGAAACACAGACAGAGTGTAAGATGTCAAAGAATTTTAAACTGTTAGCTAATTCAAGTGGGGAGGCAGCCCAAGTTAAAAAGTGCACTCTACACACAACACAGCAACAGAGCAAAGGCCGACCGTGACCACCTGTGTAGACGATGTATTTGGGAATAAATGGACAAAACTCTGTTTTCTCTGGGTCTGACTGAAGTCTGTTCTCACATCATTGGACATTAAGATTGAGGAGTTGAAGTCACCTCATAAGAAGTAATGAGACTTGGAAGAGCCGGATATCCAAGGAGAAATGCAGTGAGGATGCCTCTGCATGTCATATGGACTCATTAGCTACTTTTGATCTTGTGCTGCCTGGGCTTTAACATTTTTTGAAGCGAGTGCAGTGTTTTAAAAAGGTGCTCTGTGCATAGAAATTCATTCCTCCAGGAAACGAGGATTTAGTGGAGATGACATTATTAAAGAAAACAAAAGTGTGGCACTGACTGAGAACTAGAAACAAAGAGCGTAGGCTGGGGGTAAAATGAAAATAGATTTCAAATGACCCAGCTTGCAGTCACTTGTGTATTTCTACTGACATCAAACTTTTGGTGCACACATGCCATGTTCAGTCTTTGGTTTATCATTTAAAAACCCATTTTGGCCTACAAGGACAAAGCCTGTGCTTATTAACTATTGTAGAACAAAGTTAGATTAGTTGCACTGGGCATTTTAAGGTCATCTACTATAGTAAACTTTGTGGGCAAGTTAGTTTAGTTCCTTAAATGTAAATCTCATTTTAAAAAATCCCCAACTCCCAAAAAGTAGCTCTTCAAAATACACCATTAGATCAAGTCTTTGTGTGATATTATATATAATGCCTGGATTATAAACCTTACAGTTACACTACTGTGCAAACGTTTAGCACCAGGTTCACTTTTTCTTTAAAATTTCCCCCCAAAATGAAAAATGTGTGATTTACTGACACATATGCAAATATTTTCACAATAGAAAATAACACATTTCCAACGGGAATGAAATTTAGAGTTTGTGCTCATTTCAAACACTCTGTATAGGCCACGCCACTACGTGCCCCTCGGCTTATAATAGAGTCTTTGCTTTACGCATCAATGGGGTTTGCATCGTGCATCTCCTTTTGGTTACCAGATATGAAAACAGTAAAAACAATACACCTCTGCCATGCGACAGACAGAGATAGATTATTCATGACCGACCCTGCAGCCAGCAAGCTTTGAATAAGCACCTAGCAAAAGTCAAAGATCCAAATAATAGATTTTCTGGTCACGGTAGAAGCCTATGTGCACTGTGGCTGGTGTGTGTGGATGCTTGGGGTAGGTATGATGGGAATAGTACCTGGGACAGTTGTGGGCTCTGTATCTGTCTTGAAGGTGAGGATGCCAGGCTTAGATTTGCCCTGCTCATTCTCTGCCACCACATGAACCTCATACTCCGTGTTCCATTCCAGGCTGTTCAGGACGATATAGGTACTGTCACTGGGAAGGCGGAGCTCTGGTTTCCAGTCAGATACACGCTTCTGAGAAATGGATTTAGAAAGGAACAATTCAACACTCTCAAAGGAAAATCTCATTTTAGATCATCTACAAATGTCTCGATTTCTCAAACTGTTCTTGAGCTGACATAAAAGCAGTACATGTTCTTTCTCAACATGTTTTTCCGTTCCAAAGAGATTAACCTGGTCCGAAACAGTTAATAATGAGGGAAAAACAAGAAAATAATGAAATGTATAAAGTACTCACCAATTAAAGTATGCACAAATTGTACACAAGTAGATCTTATAAGAATAAATGAAAGTGGTGTTTAAGCATTTATCTTTTCCATCAGGTTAGTAATGAATCTTTTTGAATACATAGTTATAATTCAGTGGACAAGTGCTGCATGAGAACATAACTTTATATTACCGCCACTGCAGGAAAACTAGTCTGCTGTAAGGGTTGGTTGGTCTAATTACAGTCACCCTTTCTTCCTAGTGACAACTGTTAATTCCAAAGAGGTAGAAGATACAAATTGAAAGGGGGAAATGACTTGGATGATGAGGTGGCTTAAAATGCTTTGGAGTCATTAGCAGGCACATATTTTGACAGATTCCAGTAGATTTACCCCTGCTCAAAGCCGTAGCCAGATTTGACTACTTTATTGTAACTGCTATTATTTTTTTTATGTTGTTTTTGTTTTTATATCAAATGCAAAAAGTTACCCCCATTGCCAGAAATACTCACAGCCTTGTATCTGATCAGGTAATGTTTAATCTTGGAACCACCGTTATCTTGCGTGATCCAGTTGATCTTAAGAGAATTGCCCGGGCTGTGCACCTTGGCCTGCAGTTTGGGAGCACTGGGTTCCCCTAAACAGGAAACCAAGGAATGATGATTAGATGACAAACGGTGGTTACTGCATCAACACATGTTTACCTTTAAAAACCAACTGCCTACATTAATTAACATCTCTGAAATTTTTTATCTTAAAAGAAAAGAAAACTGCGCTACAATAGACACATTTTTTTCACCAGTGTCCACCAGGAGCAGATCAATAACATTAATAATTTTCAAGCCTTCACCTCAAATAATAACTTGGTTAGTAAGTTTTAGTTAATGTTAATTTCTCAACAACCAAAATCTTTCATTACCCTTGAACTATTTGTTTAACCCAAGCCATTCGTTTTTGTGCCTAAACTTAAACTTTAACCACAGCAGTGCCAGATCAGGGGGCACACAAAATTGCAACAATTTTGGAACACCCATCAAAAGATTTGCAAAATAGTACATCTATGTGTTAAGTTTGGAGGACCCACTGAAAGAAATATAACCTCCATGAGAAGAGTATCTGATAATTAAAGACAGACTTTAGGTGGAATATTACTTCCAGAATGACTAGAAGCAACAGAGGTCAACGTGGCTGCCTCAGAACCACAGGCGGAGGTGTTGTTCTCCTTGAGGCCCTCATTATCTGCTCTGTCCTGCTGAGTAATGACTGCTGGGTCGCTGGATAATGAGCCTGTAGGCCTTGATTGGACATGTTCCTCTATTACTTTTAATAACATTTACATAGTCTTGTGGGAAAGGAGGTCAATGTGTTTTTTGCGTGTGTGTGTGTGTGTGTGCTGTAGCTCTTCGTGGCACTGTTAAGGCAATAAGGGTGGAGACTAACAACCCAAACTCATCAATTATGTGCATATTGGTTACACACAGTTAGCCTTGTTAATATGTTATTAAATCCCCTACCTTGTGATGCTATAATCTTTGCCCTGTGCTAACAATCTTAAAAGTAACAGCCACACCAGCAGGTAACAGAAAGGCTCAGTGGTGCTGCAATTTCTACATGCATGCTACTGATAGAAATTCAATAAGGAGTTAAACCAAAAAAAGGCTTTCTCTCTCTCTTTCTCTCTCTCTCTCTCTCATCTCTCTCTCTCTTTCTCTCTCTCTCTTCTCTATTATTATGTAATATATATATATATATATATATATATTATATATATATATATATATAATACACACTTAATCCATTTTGTGATTAAAAAAAAGTCACGTATTCAGTATTTAACATTTCAAACATCAGTGTTAGTGGTTGTAGTTAATTAAATGAATATGCATGAAGGCACTTTTTCTTGAAGTAATCAAATAAGCACACTTTCTAAAAACTGCATCCCACCAGGCAGAAGTGAGCATGACACAGGCTGAAAGTGAATCAGACGGTATTAGTTACAGCAGTAGTAACTCTGTGACAGGCAGACATTGATACATTCAGCATTGCATCATTCTGGGTTAGGTGAATATTTCTGAAGGCTAAAACAGAGAAAGTGGAAGATTAGAATGAAAAAAAAACTACACATGCAAAGCTTGAAATTTGGCCCACTGCTGTAAATTCAGAAGGGTATCGTGTGAAACACCACCCATGGCCTCGCTCTAACATGCATGTGGATGGTGTGGTTCCACATGGAGCCCAAGCTAATCACAAAGACAACAAAGTTTTACGAGTTCATAGATCATAACGGAAAATCATCTCATAAGTGCTGTATGTGAGCGATTAATAACAGTATGAATTATACAAAAGAAAGGTGAATTTTGAAAATAGTAAATGTCTCAAAGTTGGAGTCTTTGTTCAGGTCAAATGAAAAAAAAAAAAGATAAATGTTTTTAACATTGCCCAATCGTCTCAATGACTTCCCAATACTAAAAAGATGTACCCAATGTTAGCACTTCTGCATATGCAAACTACTAGAAAGACATTACATCAAAGATACAGAGACATGCAGGTAGGACAGACATTTTCTTTAAGAACAGCTGAACAACAAGAAAGAGGATGCAACAAGAAAAAGGAAGTAAACTTGCATGCTGCAGTAATGCAAAGGATTGTTGTGAGTCCAACCGGTAAAACAGTGTGAGCTATGTAGCTCTCCAGGGGAAGAATATGAAACATTAGCCTTGTGGGTGACTATATTTAACAATGCATGCAATGCAAATTGTGGTTAGTGGCACTTTGTGGGGCTGCTCGTATGATGTTTAAAAATAATTCATAATGAAATGGTTTGTTACAAAACCGGAAAAGTGGGGTTTAAAAAATGCTTTGCAATGCTATCTGTGAAGGCATTTGGCCATATTAAAGGCAAATCATGTTAACAACAACACATTTTACATGAAACATAATATGACACAATTATGTGTGACTTTGTTAAAGATTTTTCTAATTAGTCATAAGTATAGTCATAACTTCTATGTTAACCAGGGTGAGAACTCAAAAATTATGTTTAAAAAGAAAGATGAAATTAAGCATATGCATCCAGTAGCACTTTGCTCTGCAGCACATCCAATAGTGCCTAGGTGTCAGACATAGCTGGAAAATTTGCACAATGGCTTTGCAAAGTTTAAAAATTGCACTAATATCTTGAATTTGTTGCTAAAATGCACTGGTATTACTGATGCAGTTGTACCAGGATTACTACACAGGAGCGAAACTGTCTGCAAAGTTTAAAAATGTGAGCACTTCTGCAGCTTGCTGTTTGAATGGAATAAGTAAAACGCTATTATAGTTTTATTTCCAGAATACTGGGTGTGGAATGATTTTGCGCCTGTAATGGCCCACTGTTATCTACAAATTTTAACATGCATTGTTGAAAATGCACTGACTTTTTTCAAAAGACATTTCAAGCTGTGACTGTTTTGTAAATGTGAATGTTTCACATTCAGAATGTAGTTATTTACACTTACAGAAAGAGAAAATATCAAAATCGTGTCATTATTTATTACGCAGTGGTCTACTTATTGATCCAAGTTAAGGATATAGGCTGTTTAAGTGCATTTAACAGATCTGAACCTGATCTTATGCATCAATTTAGTGTGTGTATAAAATCTTTTGTCTGTTTTATTGTGCTTTAAGATGACTGTTGTGCTGTGATTTGGCACTACAGAGAAAAAAACTAAATTCTACATGTTAATTCTTCAAACTTACATCACTCTTGCATTGCTGGCTCTATGAAGATTAGTGTTGTTTGTGGTGTTAATTTTAGCTTAGTTGAAGCTCAGCTTCAGCTATATATATATATATATATAATATATATATATATATATATATATATATATATATATATATATATATATATCTCTTCTCTATATATATATATATATATATATATTAAGATATATAGATATATAATATATATATATATATATACACACACACACACACACACACACACACACAAACACATTATACAAATTTATTTACACACACACCCACACACAAATAATCAAGGCACCAAGAGTAAATTTGGTGTTACTCTATAAATGCAAGGGAAAATAATCATTGTGGTTATTATTATTAGTAATCGCTTTGATTATGAAAGTCATGGTTAGTGAATGTTTGTTACTTAATTACATAATGGCTCGTAGATGAAACAAATGGCTAAAATGAATAAAACTGAAAATGTTTTAATGCCTCTTCTATGAGCCTAATTTAACAAAGGCCTTGTGCATGATTATTGCTGATGTAATGGTCTCGAACTAAACAAAGGAAATTTACCTTCTGTTGGTCAGCGAAGACGACATCATCAGCACCATGCAAGAGCCACATGACAAAGTCACATGATGCCACGGACATGAATGGTTGAAAGGATAACATAGAAGAAGAAAAAGAGGGAAAGTGTGGGGGGTAGCAGGGACAGGTGGGGGGCATATGGGAAACATACAAAACATTTTGAAATGATGAAAACATGTCAAAATAATAATAAAAAAACAAAAACAAGAAGGTTAAAGACATAATGACAAAACAGAACAACAAAAACAAATCGTAAATTGATAAACAGAAGTTTTTGAACATATAAAAAATATGTTATTGAATATATGAGGTACTGGATATTTAGTTATGGCTGTTAACAACACTGAGAATATCAGTAAATAACCAAACAAATAAACTAATTAAGATATTGAAGACTCAGCCAAAACTATACACCCAGAATTGCCTCATGCATCCAGTTGACAGCTTTTCCTCTGGCATTTTTTTCCCTCTGTTATATATTTTGGTAACAATTTGGCCAGATCTGAATTTTAACTTGTACCCATTCTAGTAGGGCTGATTGTCTTTGAAAATAAATGACATGTCGAACAGAAAATCAATTTTAAAATCAATACAAATCAATTTTAGTTGTTGTGTTTTTCCGGTAACAATAGAGCTTAAATGAAAACAGAGGAAACTCTGCAGCTTTGGGAATAAAACCATGCCAACTAAGTATGATACACAACACAGCAGACAACAATAGGAACACATGAAAAATCTGAAGAAATAAGTTCTACGACAATCTAAAAAAGCACATGTGGCATTTGTTCTGAGGAATGCATTTGTAAAAGCACTGAGCAGATACACTGCCATCAGCTGCATCCTATTTCAAGCTAATGAATAGTCACAACTGCATTAGACAAATGTTATTAAAATGGTGTGTCAAAAAGGAAAGACTTGTTAGGAACAATATTGAGACATACAGATCTCACACAGCAGACACATCATACATCAGGAACTTAAAAGGAGCAACTACACTTACAGCAATTACTCCAGTGACCAAACACACATGTTATGCTTCTTTACACACTGCACACTGTTAACCAAAATGACGTTTTAAGGTCTGTGAAAACCACAAATGACAGCAATAAGCAGTCAGACAGGTTAGTCACTTAGCAGTGCTACTGGTTAAAATTTTACTGCACACAATGACGTTAAAAACCTCAACCCGGGTCTGCTTGGGCTTTGTTGATCAGTGTCAGCGATCTCTCTTTTTCTTGTTTTTCAGAAAACGGGCTAAGTATTCACAAAAAGTATTTGTGGAAGAGCAAGTTATTTTTGGTCCCTTAAAACATTCATTAGAAAATCCTGGTCTCTGCTTCCTACTTAGTCACAGCTTTCAGTCCCAGTCAGATAAAGAACAATTGGCAGTGGCTATCCATGCTCTGGCGTAGCCAGTCAATACATGAAGGATGATTTTGAGATGCTGTTAACACGCTGCTGTCTGGCTTTTCAGAGAGAAATGGAGTGAATGCACACTAAGGGGAGGATTCAACTCATGAGCGATCTGGGAGAAAACAAGTTGTGATTAAATTGAGTGGATGAAACCACTGAAAGATTCACCGAAAAGACAGATATCCTTCTGTCATTTTAAAGAATGGCTCCTCATGGTTTGTTCAGCTGTGAATGTAACAACACTGCGGGACCAACCAAACTGTACTTTAACAACTGTCAGATCAGCTTAACTATATGCTGTGTCTCACCTAAACAGATAACAGGGTAAGAACCAGAAATAGCTTTCAATACTTTAATAGCTCCTCAGTATGTGAGATCTTAATACTAAATTGTCTGATCATTTTTTGGGCGCTTGTCTTCCCTTTTTTTGCACGATTCTGATTTTTTTTTTTTTTTTTTACAAATAAACAGATACATCTGAAAATTAGCTTTCATTTGTCATTAGCAGCCATGCCCGTTAGCGTGAACAAATGGCACATTGAACATATGCTGATTTGATGTTTAGCTTTGTTTTTAGGAGAAAAATTGGTGCAAAATAAATGTTCACTGAATCTACTTTAAGATCAACTAAATATGTAAGTACACTAGAATTTGCTTAAATTACGAATGTTTTTACTCAGTAAAAGTATAGAAATTGCAGCATTCTGTTATGACACAAACAGAATATGAGGTGTTAGCATGGACCCTACTACCTTAATGTTTATAGCAAATAATAGCATAAACAATTTGTATGATGTAGTGGTATGAGTTTTCTATAAACCACCTAACTTTATACTAAGGTGTTAGCATGATACCTCTACAAATAGCAATTAAACTACAGTAAGTATCCTCTACACCTGTCAAAGTAAGCGGCTCAGTAGATAAAGCAGGCCTGGTAAAACAAACTCATATATTCCAACTGCACAACAACGGTCTCAAGAATCTAATTTTGAATATTAATGAACAGGCAAGTTGTGTTAATTCTGCAAACACAACACTATGTCAGATGGTTAACCTTTAAGTGTTAGTAAAAATCTAAATTTTTAAGTATTTGAGACAATTAGCAAACCTATTCGATTTCTTTGTCAATTTTCACTCTGTAGAGGGATTCTGAGCCCTCCTATGACCCACAACAAATATAAATGAAAACTAGATGCAATGCCAAGCAGGTAAGAGAGGTAAAGAGACACAGCACACACTGCTGGACTGGCATACTCACTACGGGCCATACTGGTGGCAGCAATAGGGGGTGGTATCTCTGATGAAACTGAAAGATGGTGAAAACAAAATGAGAGGCGCTGGAGTCCTCAACAGAAAAAACCCCCTCAAGGATGGGACTGTTTCTTTTTGTCTCTTGGTCATAAAGAATTTGCCTGGATCACTGACAAATCTAAATCAAATCTAATGTGTTAATATGGACATGAAATGATATGAATAAATGCAATTTTATATTTCCATTTGATATTTTCATACTGATTATATACTGGTTCTCTCAGGGTGCATTGTGCCACTTATAAGAACACAAAACTTACTGTGTAATTCTGGCCCAACCAGTAGCATTTACACGCTCACTAAGCTCAGATCTTTGCTCTTTAACAGCAATGGAAATGTGAGCGCTTGCTAAGACATCATTTCTTCTTGCTGACAACCACTGACAGCTATTCATCTAAGAGTTTAAAAAGCTCATAGTTCTTCAAGTGTTAGATATTGTAAACTAGTGGGCTGCAAATACACTAAGAATCATAACATTTAGGCAGTTTACAGGAATAGGTTTGTTCATGTCCTCCCACTGATCCAACTGAAGCCAAATGGTTCACAACTGTGGTTCCCTAGGTTCCTCCCACATTACATGCATACATGCATTTTAGATATTTGCAAACAGATTTAGAATTTGCTTGCCTGAAATACTGGGCTCAGGTCTTGACAGCCCACCTGGGTTTAAGACCGTGGCTGCTTATAGCGCCTCGATATTTAGAATGCATAAAAGGCTGAAATGAACAACTTATAAGTTGACAGAAATTATGCTCCTTTATCTTTTGAAAGCTCAGGCCTGTAGCATTGAATGAAGTTCTTATGAAAATAAAATTATGGCCAGATTTACCATAATTTTGCAGCGCTTGTAAGACTTTTGAGGATCCAAAGCTGCATTCTTGTTTGTACAGTAGTGACTGTAACATGTCATATTGATTTCTTACTATACCTATGGCAACTGCCTTTTGTTTTGTTTACAGCAACAACATACAATTACTCGCTTAACAAAATTATAAGCACAACAATCAGACACACACACTCACCCAAACACTTAGGCGCTACAGCACTATTACACTCTTTACACCAAGTTAATTAAATTCTTCTCTTTAACTCTCTTTTAAAAAGACGCAACTTATTTGTCCCTAAAAGTATTATACGGCAGAAAACATACGCACAATGTAAACAGCTGCACATTTCCCAGTCATGCTTCTGGAACTGAAGCTTTTGACAGTGGTACTATGAAGTCAGTGCACTGTGTTGAAGAAAATGTAATCAGAAAATCTATCCATCTTTCTTCTGATTATCTAATTTAGAATCACGATTAGCTGGGTACGTTGGGGCGAGAGGCAGGGTACACCCTGGACAGGTCGCCTATTTATCGCAGGGCGAACACAGAGAGACGACAACCATTCACACGATCACATTCACAACTACGGCCAACTTAGAATGTCCTTAGACCGTGGGAGGAAGCCAAAATACTCAAGAACCCAAACGTGAACAAGCAAAGTCCACACAAAAAAGTCCCAGCAGACTGGTGGATTCAAACCCTGGACCTTCTTAATATGAGGCACTGGTGGTTAGCACTATTGCCTCAGGACAAAAAGGTCCTAGGTTCAAATCCGATTTACATTTCAACACTATTGTGTTGAAATGTAATTGGCAAGCATGTCGAGCTGTTTTCACTACTTTTTAGTTCTGGCTGGAAACTTTTCTGCTGAAGTTTACTTGCACTGCAGTGTTTCAGTATTTGGTTGTATTTTTTCACTTTTCAACATTCTTCTAAAGGTTGTAGATAAAGTGAACTGGTGAAATGTTTTTCTGTGTGTGTGCAGACGTGTATTTTTCTATTAAGGAAGATACAATGCATTGAGCTTCTGGGTCTCTTTATTATACGAGATATTAAAACCTCTTCCTGTGTAACAGTAAGCACAGTCTTTTCTCAAAGAAAGCTACACCTCCATCCTCCAGTAACCTACTGCAAACTAGTAGTTTTTTTTATTTTCTTACTTTCAAGATATTAATCTCTGTGTCTGAAAACATCTAATATCAAAAGAATGGGAACCCAAAAGATCTGGGGCAGTTGAAGACTGGAATATACGTAAAATATATGCAAAGACACCTGGTTTTTAAAATAATTACCAGAAATGATTCCATACATCGTCGGATAATGCAACTATATATAGTCTTTAATTTAGGCGAAGTCATAGTCTGAAGAGAGTATATTCCTTATATAACATTCCCTGACTGAACTACTGCAATGCAGAAGTACATAATTGTTTTTTAAAGAAAAAAAACAACAACACACCTTTAAGGCGTCATGAGACAAAAAACACTAAAAAAACAGGAATTACAAGCAGGACTGTTGCAGAAAACAACCTGCTCTTTAAGACCATCACACATATATCTCTAAAATGATCCTGACACTGCATAAAAGTATTCCATTTGCTATATTAGGAAAAAAAAAAGAAGAAGAAACTAATGCTGATTGGTTGGGGGGAAAAAGAAAATTCATAGTTCTGGGGCACTGGATGATGATTCTGTGGAACACTGTGTGATCAGTTCTTACATCCAGTTGGCTGTAGCATCATTTAGTAACCACTCTTTTTTTTTTAACACAGAGAACGGTGAGGGTAAAATACAACGGGAGGATGGAGACAAAATGCAGACGAATATAAAGCAGCCAAGACATGGAGGACAGAAACTTACTTGTGACAGAATACCCTGAGAAGTCCAATGGAAGAGAGAACAGATGAAAAACCAGATGAGAAAACAATAAAACAAAGAGAAGAAAAAAACAATGAAATGAGAAATATGATCAATGAAAGAGGCCAGCTGCCCTGTCAAATCGTTAACCCACTGTCTATTGTGCCTTACTGAGTATTCTGTTCACACAAAGTTCTGCTTCTCTCTGTTTTACAGTTGATAATACTGGTACTGTATCAGCAACTACAGTAGAAAATACTTTTAATGACTCCAAGGTGTCGATCAAGGTAAGGAATCTGGATTTGCG